TAATCTCACTTGCTAAGCAGGATACGGAACAACACATCTATACTTTGTGGCAACAATTTATTAAAAAGGGAAGATTAACCAATGGATTAAGTTGTAAAAGACATATAATAAAAATACCTTTGAGGCTCTGGAGTCAGAATGCAGAGATTTTAATTTCAGCTTGGCCAGTTATTGTCTTTATGACCTTGAGCACACAAATTCTTTACTATGAAAGTAGAAAGTATAATACCCACCTTATAATACTACTTTGAGAATTAAAGGAGATAATACATGTAAAAAGCTTAGTGAAAGCTAATGCAAAACTCCTGGATAAAATTTTTCATTTGGCCTGGAGACAGGGAAATTCTATACACAAATAGTGCAATTTAAACATTTTCAGTTTAGAGGGTCTTCATTTCATGTCTCTAACTCTTGTAAAGAAAACTAGCATTTGCCCAGAACACAGCAGTCAAACAGTCAGTGATATGCTCCATGTAACTTGTTCATGCGTTCTTTAAAAACCTGTTATAGATAAAAAGTTAAATCATTTCAATCTAAATTTTAATATTGTTTTTGGCCTTGGGTCTATGAAGAAGATTCTGACATACTAATCAAATGGTGTATCACACTAGCCCCACTGCTATTATCTATAGTGAGAAAGGAAGGAACTATGTTTATAAAAATAATGTCATTGTAAGAATTTTATTTAAACCCATTAACGTTTGCTAATGTGGCAATAATAAAAAATGTCAAGAATATATTTATCAAAAAAGGAAGTATAACTTAGAACTTGCTAACTAGGGGATGTGTCAGAGCAATGCTGACACAGTGATTCCCTTCACACATCAAATCTCTGTGGTAGAGACCTCGAGTATATGGCACTTTGAGAGACTTGGAGCTTTTCTGATTACCCTCCACATTAATATCATTCTCTAAATACGCAACACCATGAAAATGGTTGCGAAGTACTGCTATAATTAACCATAACATTTGTACTGTATATTAAATCTGTATAAAGACAGTTCTGTTGTTTACCTGACAGTGTTGCTAATTCAAAATCTTTTTATAATCAAAAGATTACAAGATAATAATAACTAAGAGAAGGGTCGCTACAGCTGTCCAGAAACGTATTGTCCAAAAAGGCATAAGGGATATGGAATGGATTCAAACAAAATATGTTTGAACACTCTCTCCACAGTACAGGTCCTCTGCAGTTCCATTCATTCAGTAACTGCTCCAGTGAACAGGTGACACACATTTAAAGGTACAGGCAAATTCATTGAAATACAAAACCATATTTTACATGGGAATTCAAAAGATCACAATAATGTAGCCTATTAAGTAGCACTGATATAAAAGGAATGAAAATGAAAAAGATTAAGCATAGTTCAACAAGCTTTTAAAAGGGACATGAGAAATGAAGCCTTGGGCACAAATTTTGAATTCTAGTTGAGTTAAACAAGAACAAAGAATCATAACTGAAGTATTTGTGCACACTAAGAGGAAAACCCACCACTTTTTAATATCATCCTTTACTAGCTTACTCTCTAGGAGGTAAATTTAAACTCGGATGCATACATAATTCTGATCGCCACATAAATATTTTCTTGAGAGGAAGAAAAAAAATTAAACATAAAATATTCAAAACATGAACACTTCCTTCTAAGCTATAAAGTTAAATCAAAGTTTTATTATCTGTCATCATAATACCTTTATATCATCTTCACAAAAACCTTCCTGACCTTTATGGAAAACAAGCCAGCTAAGTTATTTTAAAATACTGTCAAAGAACAAGCTTCCCAAGTGACTCTAAGTTTCAAATGCATATTGGAATACTAGTAATCACCCACCTTTTTTCCTGTCTATCCTGTATCTATATAGGGGAAGAAGATACATTAAGAAAACCTTTATCATCACTTCTCTATGTATATCTCTCTCTACAACTCTGTTACCTTTTTTCTGTGAGCTATTTTACATGGTCTTTCTTGGATCTTGATTTATGAAATTTTACATTAAGATTCTTTCATTTTCAGTCCTTTGTCAAACAGATAGATTTCATAGCCAGCATAGAACAAATTCACTACAAGCAAATTCATTATTTATCATTATAACACAATCAGAAAAAAATCCTCAATTTTCTAATCTCAAATTATAATAAAATAAAGAACCTACTAAAATCAGAATTAAATTGCCTTCTGTTTGTTTTGTGGTACTGGGAATTAAACCCAGAGCCTGTGCATCTAGAGAAGCACTATCCCCTGCCCCCTGCAGTCCAGAAGTCATTTGTTTTTTGAGCAAAATCTCCATAACCCCCAGCATCATTTTTTTTCTCCCTATTTTAATGTCTCCCTTTTCTAATTCCTTCATTTTGGCTACTGAAGATATCATTCTTCTAACCTATTATACTGTAAACCTACTAAAACAAAACTGTTAGTAATGTCTTGCTCTTGCTTGCTTGCTCTTTTTTTGCTGGTGGAGGCAGTACTGCAGTTTGAACTCAGGGCCTTCCAACACCTAGGCACTTCAGGCCCCACCCCCTCCCTGTGCCCCAGCCCTCTCATTCATTTGGTAAAATCTGTTTCAAGTGTTACTTTCTCTACAAAACAGCTACAAAATCTAAGAGAGTAAATATAAATATTGAACATAGTTTATTTCTATTACACTTCACATTCAGTCCACCATGTCCTTTTGTGTAGGTTGTACACTACACAATTCTAGAGTGCAGCATTTACTACCATTCAAACACTACTTTGTATGAACAGCAGTTCTAACACCTGACTATTCCTGTCTTTCCTGCATTTGCAACACTTTTTAAAATGTCTCTTTCCAAAAGAAAACTTCAATGTCCCTGTGAACACAGTATTAGTAAATACTTATTTTTAATGAAACACTGTTTTCTACCACTAAAATTTCTCTAGCTTTAACTGTATTTATCAATTTTACTTGCAATTGTCCTTGTCTAGCAATTTATTGCCTTAAACATTGATTAGCAAATTTCACAAACTATATTTTATACAGTTAACAGGTAGACTATGAATGAGTCATTAGTTGAATAAAACTGAAAATTGCTGCATTTAGTAAAGTAGTTTTCTTTCAGACAAATCATCTCAAAGCTTTTGTATACTAACAACATTGAGGATCTCTATGAAAGCATTCACTGCTTTTACTCTAGAACATGTATGCATCATTAACTTCATAATGGCTCATGAGATCTAGACTTTCCATCTCCTCCTTATTTGGAGAAAAAGAAAAGGAAAAAGGATGGAGAAAAAGAAAAGAAAAAAGGATAAAGAAAAAGAAATCTGACCACTTAGGTCACTGTGTTTCTTAAGATTTGGAGAGGAGATATTTGTGAAAGGGTTAAATACATCCACTCCAATGTATGCAAAAGCCTCACAACAGGTGTAATTTACCCTTCTGAGTTTGCTTTTACTGGTTTGAAGATAAAAAACAATTAACACTCCCTTTACTTGTTCTCTTACTCTGTATTTTGCCAATAGCTTTGCTTCCAGAGGGAACTGTCTTTATCAATGCAGAAACAAAAACATACCATCTACCAGAGATACTATAGAATAGTAGTTCTCAACAGCAGTCTAGGGGGTGTTCTGGAAGTGAATGAGAATGGTTGGGGTTGATTCAATGATTTTCTGTTTCTACTGGCATTTAAAGGTTAGGAGTTAGGGATTCAAGAGGTCCTCTGGTATAGAGGATAGTCCTGCAAAATGAAGATGTTCTCATGGACAAATCATATAGGTAAAAATCCTGCTTATAAATATTTGGGCATAAAAATCTGTTTTAGCTTGAAAGCTGTGTGGGAGGCAGAGATGGGAAGGATCACAGCTGGAGGTCCGCTTAACAGAACAAGTTAGAGAGACCCCATCTCAAAAAAAAAGTCTGGCGTGATAGCATCTCACTGTGATCCCAGCTACTGGGAGGCATAGACAGTAAAACTGTGATCTGAGGCCAGACCAGGCAAAAACATGAGATCTCACCTGAAAGATAGACTACAGCAAAAAAGGCTGGAAGTGTGGCTCAAGAAAAAGAGTGCTTGCTTATCAATTATGTGAGGTACTGAGTTCAAATCTCAGTACCACAAAAAAAATCTGTTTTAAATCTAATTTTGTTCACAATTGTATGATTTTATCACTAAGAACTAAAGAAGTGTAACTACTGGAATAAAAGACTAAACAATGCATTGTTTAAAATTGGAGCAAAAGTTTGTCATTACTTCAGAAAATAATGCTACCTACAGCAATACTATTTGTGGTACTTTATACAGACTTGCACAAGTCCATGTGTACACAGACGTGTCTAACTCCATCGTGTCTTCCAATGTCACCATGCCAAGCATTTACATAATGAAATACATATTACTATATCTTAAATCATTTCCTTTATATTTCAATAATTGTATACTTTGAAATTCTATGTGTACATACAGGCTCTATCACTTTTTATTTTCATTTCATATTATATCTTTTATCTTCATTGCAAGATAATAAAAAGGCTAGTATAAAACATTTGTTATATCAAAGAGACACTGGCATGCCAGCTGAGGTTAAGTTGCTAAACATAACTAGAAAGAATTTTATGACTGAGAGGAAGAGGAGGACGACACTGGGTATGACAGCGTTGAAAAGCACTAAGCTAACGAGAACAGTAACAGCCTGGTTAAAAAAGGAACTGAGGCACAAAGACAGGAAAAGGAGAGACATGAGCTTCTTTTCCCCTCAGCTTCTAAGTTTCCATACTCCTGAGGAAACATACCTTTACTTTGTCTCAGCTTCTGCCACTTCACAGATCTACACAGTCCTGAACAACCTCACAGCCAGCAGAAAGTGATGAAAATACTTGGATCCCAAAAGAACCCAGTACAGTCACTGCTACCACAATTCTTCCTGAACCTTCTGAATCTGTCAGCTTCCACAGTGGTGAGGTCACCTTCACCCTCTTCACTGACATGGAGCTCTGAGTTATGTGTTACCCTGCATTTGTTCACAGTACTGTTCAACAGCACTTACCTCAGTAGCAGTTCCAATATCAGCGGATGGGCTGCACGTGCTGGCATCTGGAGGAGCTGTACCTACACTGCTTCGAACTGGAGAACCAGGGACAGGCCCTGCCACGGTCTCTGGACAGACTGAAGATGGACCAAGACTGCCTCTCTTCTGAATCTTATTCCAGACTTTATTCATACTATCAGCTACTTCACAAAGGAGCTGGACCTAAGATAAGAGAAAGAGAGTTTTCAACATCTAGTCACAATCAACTAAAATGCCAAATATGAGAAAATTAACTAACCTGAGGAAATAAGAAACTATAAAACAAATATCTACCAATGTATCACTGTGCGTGATTTTTTCACACTTACAAGTTTGTGTCTTACACACACAGTGTGATATTTTATAATCAACCAAGCATTTCTGTGAATTAAAGCCATGGAAATAAGTAAATTTATTAAGATACAAATAGTGAAAAATATATAAACACCTCTTAAAATCAGGAAAGGAAAAAAATTACAATATGAGTTATGTATCAAAGTAGATTTAATTGTTTTGTAAAATTTGAAATGAATACCATCCTTATTTCTGAATAATATTCACAACTTGTCCTCTGAGTTCTGAGGTATAAAACTGAAACTAGATTTCATGCTTCACAAAATAAACTGAAAAAGAATTATACAACACAGAATAGTAGAAGGAAAATGTTACTTGAAACTTTTCTATAGATAAAGAACATATCCAACCTACTATTCCCCTGGGTTATGTCACTCCAATATTCAGAGAAAAAACTGTTTAACTTGCACATTGTTTGACGGGGTTCTAAGATATTTATACAAGAGTTCATAAATAAGCATTAATCATGGAATTTGTATGACAACACACTGCCATATACTGTATAAAACAAGCCCATGGAAAAATGCAAACACAATATATAAGCAAATCCACAGCTGGAGACCATATTCTGCTTGCCATTAAAAAAAAGTGAAGTTCTCATATTTATAAGAAATCTCTGCTCCAGGATATCCAGATGATGAAGCTGATTTCTTTTTCAGGCAGCAGATGCATAAAAACACTGTTGTCAATCCTTACTTGATATAAAACAGTACTTGGGTATACAGTTTTCTCCAGTTTTTTGTGTAATGAAGTCTCAAATCTCGAGTTATAGCTACTTTTGCTTTAAAATAATCAAATGGCTACAGATGTTATACAAGAATCTTCTAGAAAAAAATTAGTTCAAATTTTTTCTCCATAATAAGTTTCTTTTTAGAAAGAAACAATTATACAGCAAACTAAAAATGTAAAAAAGATTATTTTACTCTTTCTTAAATAAAAGAACTTATACTACTTACTTCTTTACCTGTTACCATTAAAAATTGTATATGTCAATAAATACTTTTTATTTAAAGGCCGAACAATGACAGAAGCATAAACACATTTTTATTTTCAAAAAAAAAAGTTAACACAAAACTCAGAACCCACCCCCTCCCAATAAGGCAAATATCTGAGGATAGATGTTCAGCTTTCAAACTTCAGGTCATACTGAAACACTTTGCCAATTAAAGCCACAATGAACTGCGACTTCCCACCTATTAGAATGTGTAAAATTAGAAAGCCTAACCATTCCAAGTTTATTAGTGAGGATACCGTGCAACAGAAACTCTTATTCTCTGTTGGTGAGAATGTAAAATATATAGTCTGATAGTTTTAGAAAAGGTATATATCTACCATATAAGCCAGTCATTACACTCCTAAGTTGCCCGCCCCCCAAAAAAGGAACAACAATTTCCAAAGAAAAACATGCACACAAATGTTTGTATCAGCATTATCTGTAGTAACCCAAACTGAAATGTTTAATAATGTTTAATAACATTATTTAATGTTTAATAATGTTTAATAACAAGCAGGGAACACAATGATGCACTTCATTAATATGGCAGAATGTTAATTAGTAATAAAAAGAAATACAGTATTGCTTCGTGCAATAATATGGAATAATCTAAAAATAATTATGCAAAAGGAAAGAAGTTAGACAAAAAAAACCCAACAACTGTATGATTCTATTTATACAGAGTCCTAAAAAAGTAAAATTAATTTATGATGGCAAAATCAGTGTTTGCCTGTGATGGGAAGCAATAGGAAGGAGTAGTTCAAAGAAGCATGAAAAACTTCTGAAAACTTTGGATATATCCATTACCTACATTACAGGATGTATGTATGTATGTGAAATTTTTTTCAAGCAGGACAACTTAAAAATGGAATATATTATAAATTAAGTATACCACAAAAAATTATAAAAAGATATCTGAAAAATAAAAATACAGGTTATATAGGAAGGCACCCAAATATTTATGCTAACAAGAGTATCAAATACTGAATAAAGGTAAAAGATAATATCTTATTTTTAATTTTTTTGATGGTATTGACATTTGAACTCAAGGACTTGCATCTGATAGGCAAGTGTGTACACTTGAGCCATGCCCTCAGCCTTTTTTGCTTTCATCTATTTTTCAGGTAGGGTCTCTTGCTTTTACCTAGACCTGGCCTCAGACCACAATGCTCCTAACCATGCCTCACCATAGCTAGCATTAAAGGCATGAACCACCATGACCAGTTTGTTGTTGAGACAGGATCTCACTAATTTTTTTGTCCAAGTTGACCTCAAACCATGATCCTGTCATCTCCATCTCCACAAGGTTGGGATTACAGCCATGTGTCACCATGCCTGGCCATGTTTCTTTTCTTTTCTTTTTTTTAATTAGGAAGTAAAGCAAACAGTAGCTAAGTATGAACCTCCAGCAATCATCTTCCCCAGAGACATACAAATTTGAGCAATTAATTCACATACCAAACTACTTACATAAGAACTGAAGAAGTCGGGTGAGAGACCATAATGCCTGGTCATGGTGTCAGGTGGAGAAATGCAGTGCTAGTCTACTGTTATTTCTGGGCAGCATCATCTAAGGCTGGTTTCAGCAATCCTGGGCCATGAGTCAGTTCAGCAGTAGATAGTCCAAGGCAGCCACAGGCATTGTAGCACTAGTGGCCACAGGAAAAGTGTTTCAGTATGAACTGAAGTTTGAAAGTTCAAGCCCAGTACCGCAAAAAAAAACAGTCTCCCAAAAAAGAAAAGTCTAGGACCTGACAGATTCTCTGCTGAATGCTACCAGATCTTTAAAGAAGAACTAATACCAACACTCCTTAACCTTTTTCATGGAATAGAAAGGGAAGGAACACTGCCTAACTCATTCTATGAAGTCAATATTACACTCATCTCATAAGCAGACAAGGACACATCCAAAAAAGAGAACTACAGGCCAATCTCCTTAATGAACATAGATGCAAAAATTCTCAATACAATAATAGCAAACCTAATCCAACAACATATCAGAAAGATCATACACCATGACAAAGTCAGCTTCATTCCAGGGATGGTTCAACACATGTAAATCATTAAACGTAACGCAGCATATTAACAGAATCAAAGACAAAAACCACTTGGTAATCACAACAGATGCAGAAAAAGCCTTCGATAAAATTCAACACCATTTCATGATAAAAGTTCTGATGAAACTAGGAATAAAAGGAATGTACCTCAACATAATATAAGCTATATATGACAAACCTATAGCCAACATTCATACTTAATGGAGAAAAACTGAAACCATTTCTGCTAAAGTCAGGAATGAGACAAGGGTGCCTACTCTCTCCACTCCTATTCAACATAGTCTAGGAATTCCTAGCCAGAAGAAATAAAAGGAATACAAATAGCTAAAGAAGAAGTCAAACTATTCCTATTCATAGAAAACATGATCTTATACCTAAAAGATCTGAACAAGTTCACCAAGAAACTCCTAGACACCATGAACAGCTTCAGCAATGTAGCAGGATACAAAATCAACTTATAAAAATCATAAGCTTTTCTATACACCAACAATGAACAGATTGAGAGAGAATATAAGAAAACAATTCCATTTACAATAGCCTCAAAATAAACTAAATACCTAGGAATAAAATTAACAAAGGATGTGAATGACATCTACAAAGAAAACTACAAATCACAGAAGAAAAATGAAAAAGACTACAGAGATGGAAAGATCTCCCATGCTCATGGGCTGGTAGAATTAACACAGTAAAAATGGCTATACTACCAAAAGCAATCTACATATTCAATGCAATTCCCATCAAAATCCCAATTACATTCATCACAGAGATTGAAAAATCATCCCTAAAGTTCATCTGGAAGCACAAAAGACTGCCAATAGCCAAAGCAATACTGAGCAAAAACAGCAATGCTGTAGGTATCACAATACCTGACTTCAAACTATACTACAGAGCCATAGCAATAAAAACAGCACAGTACTAGCACAAAAACAGACATGAAGACCAGTGGAACAGAATAGGAGATACGGATATAAATCCATGTAGCTACACCCACCTAATTTTTGACAAAGGAGCCAAAAACATATGATGGAGAAGACAGCCTCTTCAACAAATGTTGCTGGGAAAACTGTATATCTACCTGCAGAAAACTGAAACTAGATTCATGTTTATTACCCTGTACAAGTATCAACTCAAAGTGGATTAAAGACCTTAATATAAGACATGAAACCTTAAAGCTAGAGCAGGAAAGAGCAGGGAATACACTAGAGGCAATAGATAGGTAATGACTTCCTCAGTAGAATTCATGGGGCTCAGCAAATAAGAGAAAGGATTAGCAAATGGGACTATATCAAATTAAAAAGTTTCTGCACAAAAGAAATTGTCTCGAAATTGAAGAGGCCATCCATAGAATGGGAGAAAATCTTTGCCAGTTATACATCTGACAAGGAGTTTATAACCAGAATATACAGGTAGCTCAAAAACTAAACTCCCAAAAAATCAATGACCCAATGAAGAAATAGGCAAATGAACTGAACAGAGCCTTTTCAAAGGAAAAAGTCCAAATGGCTATAAAAAACACATGAAAAATGCTCAACCTCCCTGGCCATAAAGAAAATGCAAATCAAAACCACATTAAGATTATACCTTACTCCGGTTAGAATAGCTACTATCAAGAACACAAATGACAACAAATATTGGTGAGGATGCAGGGGAAAAAGGAACCCTCAAACACTGCTGGTGGGAATGTAAGCTAGTACAACCACTATGGAAAATAGTATGGAAGCTCCTTAAAAAAACTAAAAATAAACCTGCCATACAATCCAGCAATACCACTCCTAGGGATATAACTGAAAGATTGTGACTCAGTTCACAACAAAGGTACCTTCATACCCTGTTCATTGCAGCATTGTTTACAATAGCCAAGATATGGAAACAGCCAAAATGCCCCACTATGTTTGAATGGATTAAGAAAATGTGGCATTTATATACGTTGGAATTTTACTCAGCCACAAAGAAGAATGAAATTTCGTCATTCGCAGGTAAATGGATGGAACAGGAGAACATCATCTTAAGTGAAGTTAGCCAGGCTCAGAAGGTCAAAAGCCACATGCACTCTCTCTCATTTGTGGAATATACACCCAACACAAATGTAACAATATTATGAAACACTGGTCACACAAAGGGGAGGTCACCCACTAGACAGGTAGGGAAACTAAGAACTTCAGTGGGGATGATATACTTACTACACAAAAATGAATATAGAAGTATTAAACTGAATGAAACTACCATAAGAAAGGAACTAAGGTAGAATGAAGAAAATTAGAGTAGGTAAACCAATTGGGATTATAGTAGATACATACATGGAAATATCACCAGAAAACTCCCTGCGTCTACCTTTATCTCAAACAAATGACAACGTCATGTTTTCCATTTTATGTTTTCTCTTTTTTCTCCTACAAAATCAGAGAACAGGAAGGTGGAACAAGTCCTGCTCAGGGGGAGGGCTAGAACCATTGGGAGGGGGAGGTGCTGGGGAAAGTAGGTAGTAGGGTGAATATGGTGCAAAAAAAAAAGCTTACATATGTAAGTAAATGCAAAAATGATACCAGTTGAAACTACTCCAGAAACTGGGGGAAGGGGAATGAAGGCGAATACTTGAGGAGGTGAATTCAAATATGATATATTACACAGGTAAGAACCTGTGCAAATGTCACAATGTACTCCCATCCATCACAACAATAAAGAAAACAACAACAACAAAAAAACCAAACCAAAACAACAAGAACAGATCAACTGTAAATGAACCAAGGAGCTTCAAGACAGGCTATCCGAAATACGTACTTGGAGAAGAGAAAGAGAAAAAGAAAGAAGAGGAATCAAGAACCCTTACAGGAACTTTCGCATAGCAGAAAAAGAGCAAATATTCAGGATAATGGGGTTCAAGAGGACCTTTATACTGCTAAAGTGGTAGAACGCTTACTCAGAGATAATAATAGAAAACTCCACCAATCTAGGTAAGGATACAAATATGTAAGTAGAAGAAAGTCAAGGGTCACCAGAGTTAAATAAGTCTATCTTAAAATTTATTATGATTAAGTTCATAAAGGTAGATGATAAAGACAAGATTCTCAAAAGCAGCAAGGTAGAAAAAACACAAACAAAAAAACATTCGAGTGCCTCAAATACCTGACAGCACACACCTCAGACAAAACCTTAAGAGTCAGGTGAGAAAAGAGTGATCTTTTTCACAGGAGTCGGGGAAAAGGCTTCCAAATGAGAATACTGTGCCTAGAGAGAAAGATATTTCTGAGAAACAAAAACTGAAAGAATCTATTTTTATGAGACTCATCCTACAAAAAAATGATAAAAGGAGTTCTTCAAACTGAGAGACATTAATAAGAACAAAACATCAAAAAGTATAAAACTAGCAAGAATAACTATACAAATTTAGATTGTTCAAACTTGTAAATATGGAATGTAAAATACTCTTATTATGTATGAAGACTGAAAATAACAACTATATTAATATCTGAAGAGATATGCAATATTGATAAAGTACAGCATGAAAAATTCAAGATGTGGGGAAGAATTGAGTGCAAGTGCTGTGCTTCTTATTAGTATTTTTTTTGTTTCTTTTTATCTTCAAGATAAAATCAGAAATGTTGCTATTTTTTCAAAATAGTTTTTTATAATTAAAAGGTGTTTCTGTAAGCCTAATGGTAACTTTACAGCAACAATCTATAGCAAACCAAAAAATACAGAGAAAGGAATCAAAGCATTATCAGAGTAAACCACTTAACCACAAAAGAAGACTGTAAAAAAGTGGGAGAAAGAAAGGAAGCAATTATAATTAAACTAAAAACAAGTTACAGAATGGCTGTAATAAAATCTTATTAATCAATAACTACCTCAAATATAAATGAATTAAATTCTCCAATTCAAAGAAACAGAGTGACTGAACGGATAAAAAAGCAAGACCCCATTATATTTTGTTTTCAAGAATTTCACTTTATTTCCAAATGAAAGTGACTTAAACCAAAAGCAAAGAGATGACATAAGATAGTGCATGCAAATGAAATCTAACAGAAAGTAGGAGTAGTTATACTTATGTCTGATAGTCTTAACATCAAAGCCAATAAAAAGAGATAAGGAAGTACACAATAAATTGATAAAAAATTCAACTCAAAAAGAAGAAATTATAAGTATGTGTGTACTCAAAATCAAAACACCAAATATATATAAGGAAAATCTTAACAAACCTACAGGGAAAGACAGATATCTACAGAAGACTTCATCAAGTGTAGAATACAGGGAAACTGCAGGTGGACCAGGTTTGCAAGGAGACCAAGGCTAGTTGATATGGCAGTATCGAAGGTGGAATGGGAGTTGCTACTGAGTCTAGGCCTGTCTGTGAGGATTGGAAAGGATGTTCATCATTGGTGGCTTTTTCTCAAGTATTTTTTCCAGTTTCTTTGAAACCATGGAAATGAGGATTTTAATTTTGGGATTAGAAGATCCTGGAAATACTGCAATTTTATACAGATTACAGGTTGGAGAAGTTAATTACTATTTTCACCATCAGATTTAACGTAGAGAGGGTAACAGAAAAACCTTAAATTCCAAGTTTGGGACTTAGGAGGACAGACAAGTATCAAGCCATACTGAAGAAGTTAT